AACCCATGTTGCTCATCCAGCAGCACTTGCTTCTCCTCTATTGTATCCTGTAGGTGGTTCAGGATACACCTCTCCATGACCTTGTTCAGTGTAGGCAGTAGACTGATGGGCCTGTAGGACGAAGCAGCTTCCTGTTCTTGCCTTTTTTGGGTACCAATACCATTATTGCCTTCTTCCAGGTGGTCGGGAAGTATTGAAGGTCCAAAATTCCATTTTCCACTGTGGTAAGGTCCTCAATAGCTGTTTGCGGTAGCTTTCTGAGGACTTCGTTTGTGATTCCATCATACCCAGGAGCCTTTTTTCTCTTGGCCCCCTTGGCGATGTTCTGGATGACCTCTTTGGTGACTCTTCTGGCTTTGGTGGGCTGCCATTTTTGGAGATGAGCGGCTACCAGCTCATTAACTATCCTCTCTTGTTCTGGGTGATCAACCAGGTTTTCCCGGAACTGGAGCTCTAGGTGGGCGGCAAAGGGCTCAGCTTTTTCCTTGGAATCCACAGTGGTGATGTCGTTTTCTTCGATTGGTAGTATTGGCTTCCTTGGTCCTGCTGTGAGGCACCTGGCCAGCTTCCAGAGTTCGCTTCTTGACTCATCAGCCTCTATTTCGTCCATGCGATCCTTCCAGAGTTGCGATCGAAGGATTTTCATGTCTTCCTTGATCGCATTCTGAAGGCGGTTGGCTTGTCTCTTCAGGTGTGTCACGAAAAGATATTTCGACATCTCATTTAAACCATTGAACAGAAATACAACGGAAAGTTCAAATCTGTCGCATCATCTAGTGGCGGATACGGTGCTAACCGCTGAAGTGCTTTTACCATGCAGGAACAAGCGTACAATTCCCTGTGCTTTTCACATTTCTTTAAATATTCTGTCCCTGAGTTAAATTAAGTGTAATTAAAAGTGAGGCACTATGAGTTATAACACAAAACCTAGCAAACGAAATAAAACATAAAACTGGAACCCATATTTGCATATCTGTACCGGTTCTTTGGAGACAAGCTTCAGATGAGCTTCATGTAAAAGTAAAAAGCCGCCCAACATATTCCCAAAGTTTAAAAATTTCTTGTGAAGAAATCAATGGTTTGATGGAATCAAATCCACACTATCGGTAAGCTTTGCAACATTTGGTGTGCATGTTGTGTTAATGCTGTTTTATTTTCACTAGTATTTCTCAAACTGTATTTATGTTCGTACATCTCTTTTTTCAATATTGTTTAGTTTGTCCTATATATGAGTCCTAAACAATTCACTTCACATTTCTTTCTTCACATTCACTTCAATTCACAGTATTTGGTACATCCATTCGGTCAGTTTTTTGTTTTAGTTTGGGGAAACATTCAGTGATAAGTTGTTTTTTGTTTTTGTTGTGTTTTTGTCATGTTGTGTGGTTTTAGTATTTGATATTTTTTATTGATTTCTGGAATATATGGTAGTGATATACATACATATATGTATTGTTTCATTATTCCTGATTATTGTTATATTTAGTTGAGTTGTAAATTTTGTTAATTCTTCGATTTATTTATTATCGGTTCAGAAATTTTTTTTGGGTAGTTATAATTAAGAAATATGTTTCTCATTTTTTTTAAATTTTCTTGTCTGTAATTTGGGTGTGATAATTTTATAGCTCTATCCGTTATTAAGTGCAGTTATTACGCTTTTATATTAGTTTTTTATTAGCTTTTTTTAGTTTATTAGTTTTTATATTTTTGGGGTGCATATGAATTATAGTTTAGATACCTTCCTGACCAAACTTCTTTTATATACCAATTTGTTCTTATTTCACCTGAATTATCATAATTTGCTGTTATGTCTAAAACATGTATGGATCGATTTTTATCCTTTTCCATTGTAAATTTTATAGTGTCGTGAAAATTGTTGAATTTATCTAGGGTATAGTGAATTTTATCTTTGGGTAAACACATTAAGCATACACAAATCGTTTTGGTTGTATTTATTGTTTAAGGATTTTTCTCTATTTATAATTTTCTTATTGATATCGTTTATTTTGGAAAAACAATCACTCTGCATTATATTTAAAACTAGCATATAAAACACATTTAGTACTTTCAAATAATTTTCATTATTTGGCTTTCTCCCAAAATTAAAATCTCTCCTCCTCACCTGAATGAATGTTGGTACAAGTTTTAAGTTTTTGCATCTAGTTAAAAAACCATTTTCGGTTCTTCTCTCTCGCTAGCTTAGCCCTGTTTTTTAGTGCTCTTATCGCAAAAGAAACATCCTTTCAAATTCCAATGGCAAATTTAATGAAATCACAATGGAACGATCATTTTACAGAAAAAACATGTGCAAATTTACTGTGTTTTAGAAGATTGCACCTCATTCCTACAGAAGTCCGCTTCATGAAACCAAATGGAATTGATGTGGTGGTAAACTATGGGTAGCCCAGTTAGAAGCAAGAAATATATATTCCGATCATCAACCTCTCGACCCAAATGAAATTTCAAAATCTGAATTGCTAAGACTTAACACACCCATGACTTTACCATGTATGGAAGTGCCAGTTTCGCTACTTTAATGTTTACGTTTATTGAACAGCTATTCGCTAGAATGCCATTCGGTGTACGCATTTTTCATGGATAACTTGCAGATTTTTGTCTTTCCTCGAGTCAGCATGATATTGAATGACCGAAATGCACAAT